GCAGCCTGTGAAGCTAGCAATGGGTTCATCAGTTTCATTATAAAATCATCAATGATAGTTATCGTCTGTTATAGTAGCCTTTTCTTGGTTCATCGCTGCAGAAGGGTGAGCCCAAATTGGCTTAATTTGATTTGCATTATTAGTCATACCTTCGGGCTTCGACCTTCGAGTCATCAAAAGTATGATTTCTGCCACAAGATGAAACAAATGAGTCAAAATCATGGCATAGCTTGGATAACTTTCGCTTTGTGCTTTCTTGAATGTTAGCATAATTATTACTGATGTTTCTCTACCATAGCAACTCTAGCATGTCAAGTCGTCGGGTATTAATGACCCACACTGACAAAATTATACATAGTTATCTTCATTAACCCCTTTAATACTGAACCTTCTCGTGTAGATAATTCTACGTTTTCTTTTCAACACCCGTCTTTCGACTTTTACATCTTGGAAAACACTTTAAATCTGCTTCTAGTATTCATCACTAAGTGACACCATTGGCTCTTTCTTTCCGTTTAACTACATCCACACAAATAATATACTATTTAATATTCCTTAGACAGCTGTACTTAGCTGATGCGTATCGAATCTATGAATGTTGGTACTTGAACTAGAAAATGCTCTTCAAGATTTCCCCTCGCTAATTACTTACAACTTATAAGGGGAGAACTTGGAAAATTGTTTACTGAATAGTAAACTTATATTCCGGCAGTTATGAGATGAAATGTCGACATTCTAAAGAGTTTTCGTTGGTAAAGTTTGGTGGTTTAATATTTTATATCCCTTCCTTTTTCTCTGAAAATTTTGGTCGTCGATAGCTGATGCTGTTTATCCAAGTTAGTTTTAAGAAACAAGAGGATGCTTCACTTCTATTGTTTTATCCAGACGTGGGGAGTGTTAGTCCGATCCAGTTTAATTAATCGATGCACTTAACGCAATGCAAATATCGATTGCACCGCTCAAAGCATCGTTTCGACACGCATCCGCATGGGTGAACTTTACGGCTCGGGGTCGGTTTATTTAAGGCGATTACATGGCCGAACGACCTTGAGCATTAGAGCGAGACAACGCGCCTCCCGCCGCGCGCCCGCGCTTCTGTCCGATATCAAAGAGCGCTCAGAATACAGATGCAAAGCTCTGCCAATTCTAACATAACTGCCTACGGGAATGTTGACTCGATTTTAATTTATGCAGATCGAAAAACATTGCGATGCTTATTTTGTGTTTCAAAACAGAATAAAAAAAAAATATTATACAGAATAATAATAATCCTCGTCAGCATAATTTTCAAACTAAAACAAAATTAAATTATTGAAATATAATGATTATAGTATTTCAATTAGTACATCGTTCGTTCGTTTCAGCCGAAAGACGTCCACTGCCGGACAAAGGCCTCCCCCAAGGATTTTCACAAAGACCGGTCCTGCGCCGTTCGCATCCAGGCACCTCCCGCGACCTTCACCAGATCGTCGGTCCACCTAGTGGGAGGCCTGCCCACGCTACGTCTTCCGGCTCGTGGTCGCCAATTAGTACATCATTATACTTCAATTAGTACCATAACTATGAAAAATAAACAATTATTTCCTCCTGTAAAGTTTGCTCAAAGGGACATAAGCAGTTTGAAAGTTAGGCTGTCGATATTCGTGTGTCTAAGTGAGCTTCTAAACTTTAATTGTGTGTACGAGTACCTACCTAAATGTAAATGTCTGTCTGTGCAGGTATACAAAATATTGGTCAACATTGAATAAAATATTTTTGATTCTTGAATACAATTTTTGACTTTACTTTCTCTGTTATTATTTTTTGGTAAAATCGAGAAATTTTTTGATACATACATTTGGCTATTATAATCCTGATTAGTTATGATGAAATATAAGATTTTCGTTTAGCGTTCTATTTCAACTAAAATAGATAAACACGGATTGAGCGACATTTTTATATGAGTTACATGTCAAGTACGAATACGAATACTGTGTGTCGAGGTAACGCCATTTTAGTGTAACAATGACAATAATATGAGGGTAGTTTAAAATATTTATTTCTATGCGGTTATTATTTTTGATTTGATTTTGAAATAAATCACATAAAAAAGCAATGAAAAGCAGTATATCAGAAAAGATGGCTGACTTTGGCGGCTCGTAATTTTAGCTATCCAATCATTATCTGGATATAAAATGTTTTTATTAGACTAAAGACATAATATTGGATGTTCATACCAAATAAAAAAATAGGTTGAAAACACGCGAGAAAAAAAAGAAGCAGTTTTAGGTCAAATTTCGGAAAATAATAAATAAATTATAAATATCAATAAAAAAAGTAGCTCATTTAGGGTCAAATGGGCGAACTTGTATTCAAAATGACCTTACTTACGAAGTTTGTCTAACGTTCTACCAAACTCCTGTATATTTTATATTATTATCAGGGATCGAAATAGGTGGTATCAATTTAATTTACCTAACCTTATTCGCGACGAGACGATTGAGCTAGATGAATCGAAAATTCCCTAGGAATAATTCCGATTTTATGTAGGGAACAATTATATAAAAAAACTCATACCTACAAAACCAATGGACCAACGGGGTACCTTGTAAAATTTACCAATAGAAACGCAAAATGCACAAAAGTGATGTGATTGTTTCCAAGAAATTCATAAAATACGTTTTTGCTAATTACAGAATTGAAATAATCCTTTGTAGGTATTTTTTGTTGTCTTGTGATTTCCTTTACCTAAGTGCGTTATTTTATTATTATTACCTACTAATACCTACATAAGAAAAAAAATCTCGTCTCGAAGTTTATATAAATCTAGAATAAATAGACAAATAAATGTAGAAAAATAGATAATTAGCATCTTGTTTAAATTATTTTAAACATTTTATAATGCCTACACTTATTTAAAATGACGTACTCAGATCACTAATTTAGCCGCCGAACTACTTTGAGTACCGAGTGTACCATCTGCGCTATAAATTCTTTATAGAAAAACAAAGGAGCGCAGCGGGCCGACATGCGACACAGCCTCCCCGTGCGAACGCTAGTGAAAGACTGAGCTCCCGCATTCGAGCGGCCCGCGTGTGGAAATTACAGGGTATTTTGAATTTATGATACGTAATACAAGATTTTTGAAAAAAAAATGAACAACAGTTTTTTAGACCGAAAAATTTTCTATCATTTGGTGAAAGAATCATTAAAATCGCTTCAGCCGTTTAGGAGTAGTAGGAAATTTCATTGGTGAAATTAGAAGAAAGTTAAGAATTTTTTCTGTCAAAACTAATAGTTGTAACAAAAAAAACGAACAACAATTTTTTAGTTTAAGATATTATACATCTCACACATATTTTTTTTTCTTGTTTGGATCATCCATTTAGGAGGAGTAGGGATTCAAAGAGAGGTCTATTTTGCAGTTTTGCCTCACCTATCGCCTTAATTGCTCGTTCGATGAAGGCGTGTCGAGTTACACTTTATCTTCATGCAACCTCCTGCACTTAATACTGTATGCTTTACATACAATTAATTTCTAAAAATTACTATAATCTTAACATCAATCTTGACTTTCTTATTTTATACGGCAGCAAATGCTCACAGAATTTAAACTAAGAGTTTAATAAAACTAAAATATCGTTTGTTGTAGGAATACTGTTCAAGATAATTTATTCATTAACAAAGAATTGATATTGTTTAGTTATACATAATTTAAGTTAAGATAATGAAGTGAATAAAAATTAATGAAGTGATTATCGAATTCAATATAACACTTAATGTAGAAATTGGTGCTGTTACTTAATTCAATTAAATGTATCTTTCATAAGCTCTATTAAATTACCTTCCTTGAGTTGGCACATTATGATTGACGGCAAGCGAACGAAATCATTAAAACTTTCGTTCATGTTCCTAATAAGATGTCATAATGAATATGATGATGCAACTGATGAAATGAAAGATCATTTTAATGAAAAGTTGGGTCTATGGTTGGCATTTGCTCAATCGAGTCCTTGTAAACAGTATTCCGCTTCGGTGCGCGCGCGCAGAAACCGCGTTTACGACCGTTACGTGCGCAATCAGCTGAGTGGGCATTCGTTGGGCCATTCATGATTCATTGGTTTACGTATAATTGATTCTAATATAACTCTAAGAGCTCTTTTAAATTAGACGTTTTGAGCCGCACGTTAGTCGTCCGTTTGCAGGACCGCACACGGAAATTCTATGACCGTTGAAATAAAAATAAATAAATGTCAAAGACCAACAGTTAGTGAGCTGCTTCGATCAATAATACCATAATAATAAGGTATTGTTCATCGAAGGTGTGCGGTCTTGCAAACGCACGACAACCGTTCGGCTCAAAACGTCTAATTTGAAAGTGCCTTAAAAATTAGCGATTACTTGTATAAAATAAATAAGTCAAGAAATGTTTGTGAAACATTGCCACTGCAATTAGCTGTTAACAGCTTTTGATTGATCCAATAAAGATGTAAATTTGGCGAATGCTATATAAATGAATAAATAAAATTTGTGATTCATATGAATTTTCTATATTCAATGAAGATCTATGTAACAGTTGTTGCTATAAATACTAATCAACAATAATTAGTCAATCCGCTTTCGTTTAATTGATTTGGTGGTATTAAGTCGTAAATCACACGATTTAAATAATGACGTAATTTATTTAGGTTATCAATTTATTAACCGTTTGTTTGTCGTAATGTTAGCAGGTGCTACATCAAATTATAATGGTTATGATATTTTTAAACTTGATAATGAATTCAGATAGAAATTTCACTTCCCGAGGCTTTATTGACATATTAGTAGGTCAGAAGTATAATTTGTATTAGGGAGTAGTTATATCGCTCGAGGCGCCGCGCCGTATGCTGCGTTTCGGGTCCCCTATCAAATTGATTGAAATTCACATAATTTATGGGGCGCCCGAAGCGTAGAGTTTAGGGCACATGCCTCTGGCGTTTGTTATGATAACTGGTCCCTTACAGAAGCTGTTTTTGTTGCAGGTAAAATGCCGTCGCTTCTAGAAGCACTAGCGCGGAAGTATGGAGCGAAGGGAGAAGTGAACCCTACTATAGACGATATGCCGGTGGCCATCTTCGTGCCCAAACGGTCGCCCCGTCTCAGTGTGCCCACTCTTCTAGTCCTGAACGATTGTGAGATCGACTGCGCGGGAGACGCGCGAGGCCTGGCCGATAAGTGCGCGGACGTCGTTGAACTGGACCTCGCTAACAACAAGCTTACTGAATGGCGAGAGGTAAAAATTAAATAAATGAAGATTCTTGGACATTTTGCCCAATAATCTCGTTATCTTCAAAACCAAAGTTTGTACGGCGGTGGCGGCAATGGTTCAACTGGGTGACCTTAGCAAGCAACCTAGCTATTTACTTATTGAACGTGAAGTATAATTTGAAGGCGAAGTTCATTGGACTTATTAGGTTCTGCCTGAAGTACCCGCAGTCCGAATCTACAGCACCACTCAACCCTAAATTGGGTTGCGTTTCATTACTTTATTGTTAACATCCGACATCCGTTCCGCCCATCAATTTATTCCCATCATGAAAGTGTTACTCCCTCCCTATGTCCATGCATGGTTGCTAATTTTAACTCATCAACTAGTTATGCTATTGTGCAGCAACAATGCTCTATGATGATGCTGTAGCGATTCCACGGATAATTCTTTGTTTCAGATATTTGCAATACTAGAACACACGCCTCGTGTCCGCTTTCTGAACTTGAGTTTCAACCGGCTCTCGGCCCAAATCCAGGCGGCGCAGGCGCTTCACCCGCGCTGGGACAGTCTCAGCCACCTCGTCCTCAACTCCACGTACGTCGGCTGGTCCGGCGTCACCGCGCTACTCAAGGCTCTCCCAGCTCTAGAAGAGCTGCACTTGAGCCTAAACGAGTACTCCTACGTCGACTTCAGTGGAAAGGACGTCAAAGAATCAGACAGATGCGAAGACTGCTCGCGGCTAAACGTCGAAATGCCTGAACCGGTCCACGAACAGCTAAAGAAACTGCATTTCTCCGGCAACCCAGTCAGTAGCTGGCAGGAAATCTCCAAGTTAGGATACGCCTTCCCCAACCTAGAAACGTTACTGGTGAACGACTGCCCCATAACGACACTAGCACCAGATCCGTGCGATAAGTGCAGCGACAGCAATGGGAATAAGAAGAGTCACGACGCTTTCTCGTAAGTACGGTCGTTTGAATAATGCTTCACAAATACACGACATGCACTGATGCATAAATAATAGAAGTAATAAGCTGTAAAACTGCATGTTTTTTCTTGTGGATTGATGGTGGATATGACTATACATTTGGTTTACAAAACACGTGTTACGAGTCAAGTTTTACGATCACGTCGCTATTGTCCTCGGAAATATCATAATAAACAGCTGTCCAGTTATCACCACGTGTTGCGAAAGAGTAATCTCTAACGCGCTTTGTCATTGACCCACTGAACCGCATTTCGTGCCATTGGAAGTCTGGAAGCGTGTGCAGCCAGTAATCTATTCTGTTCGTCATTATCACCCTGACCAATGTTAATTTTATCCACAGCGACTAACTTGCTAGATAGAGTATAGTACCTACTGATTTTATTAGTTTGTATATTATAACTGTATTACTTGATAAAAACAGTACAAAGTCGAATGTTTCGTACTTTTCTTTTGTCTCTTGTAAATAAACACGAAATACGTTCAGTATACTAACGCAACAAAACAACGAACTTATTCCCAGCTGTATCTACTGAAAACTTCTGGCACTCACGCCAACAGATATTTATTTACCCGCATTTTTACTATTCCAGACGACTCCGTTTCCTGAACCTCAACAACACCGACCTGTCGACGTGGGACGAGGTGGATCGACTAGCAAAATTCCCCGCCTTGAAAAGTTTACGGGCACAGGTAAGCCTCGTAATAGATTAACTTAGAGATTTGGCTTCGCGCTCAGAATAGGGAATCTTTGTTTTCTATTTGGGACGAAGTCTGTTCGGTTTATTGGAATTTGGGATCCATTTTTGTGCAACGTTGCTTTTGATAATCAGGTGCTTTCCAAAAATCATTTTTTGTTACCTAATTACTGTTACGAATTTCTTCACCTATTTGTTTCGAATGTAGATAAGCTGTAACATTATTTGTTATTGTTCTATGCACAACTGAAACGTCCCTTATCATCAGATTTGATAAGGAAATTGGCATAGCACAATCGTCAAAAATATACCAAGGAGATTCAATGTCGTTATGTATTGCGAATACTTGGCTGGGCACCCCGCCTTGTTGAGAGTTGCATAATCTATTGCATTCGTATTTATAGCAGTTTGTATCTAACACAGTAACTTAACATCAATATTCAATAGCAACTGGTGTTAAGTAAGCATTGTTTAAGTACTTCGGTAGATTAAGATAAAGCTAGCGATCGAGCTCTACATTTTTCGTTCCACGTGAATGCTGCATTGATTTATAAGGCTGTTTTAGATTTTATTTATGTAAGACTCATTCCTAGGCTTAGCAACAGTCTAGTCTTCCACAATCAGTTTTATTCCTCATCATCATCAGATCATTTAATTTTAGTCTCTACTTTAGGAGACCAACTTTGTCTGGTTGGACTGGTTGAGGTATTTTTCCCATAGTCGCCTTTTACGAGATCCAACTGATCCAAGAGAATAGTGGGAATTTTCGTTCCTCTATTAAATGATGTTCCCAGAGTAGAAATCAAACCAACATTGATACCATTCGAAAGGCGTGGTGACTCACTGGCTTCCTACAAACCTAATGGCATTAATTGTCTAACTGTTACAACATCTGCGTCCGTGCCAATTTGCGAAACCTTGCTGCATAGCACCCTGCCCATCTGATTCGGATGCCGCGATAGTGAAGTGCCGGATATCGTTTCTTCTTCCTTGTAACTTTATTCAGACTTTGCCAATACGCTTCTTTTGTAATACACAAATTTTATTTTTCTTGATCTCAGCGTATAAGCACTTCGGGACTATTCCCACCACTGCAACTCCTGTGTAGCCAGGATCTACAGCTTGACCGCCACAAAAACCCAACCAATGAAGGTCAAGTTTGTCCCGAGGGAAAGTTAAACTGTCATTGGACCCGCAACGAAATTAATCAGAAGAACATAGGAGGAGTTCGAAATTAAGGTTCGACTTCCCTCCATTGTAAAGCGGATGACAGGTGACAAACAAAGGTTTAAAACCTTTAATAATATTTTTCACAAAATCGCTTAAAAGCACGGAAATTTTTCCTTGTCGCGACAAGATCGGTGTAATAAATTGCGGAAACAGATGTATGTTGTATTGAATTAAGCATTACCTATATCACGTTCATGTTTCCAAAGATCACACTCCGCGTGCGTATAAGCACTTAGTTAACCGCCTAGGTTTTCCCAGTTGCCTCCTTTATGGAGTTGTTGAATTATTTTTGCGATCGTCCTCAGCCTCATAATGTATAATGTGAACTGAGCAATAAGATTTTCCAGGCATTTAATGCCATTTCTAGTATTTATGTTAAGTTGTTAAAAACACAACTTACAAGAAAAATATAAACTATCCAGGATTTTAGAGCAATCGAAGTTTTAGCAGGATAATATTATTGTGCCTGATAATGTCCAGGTAGTCCTCCTGGACTCAGATATTCAGATCGGTCAGTCAATCACACCTACCCTAGGCTAATTTGAACATCACTGGCCCGTACATTGTTCAATCGAGCTGTAGCCGTGTTCACCCGTCCCTCGGGCACTGGCAATACGGGTGAAGGTCTTCCCGATATAGTACGGCCTACTTGACGCGTTGCACAACGCTAATGTGCCGAATGCTCCAGGGGCCATGTTGTGCGAGATATCAAATCTTTGATACGTGTCTGAATTAACACAGATTCGTCAATCATCACAATCAATCTTAAATACCATAGTATAAGAAGAGTTTGGTTTGCTTTGGTGAGATACCAAGGCATACATGCCTTATAATATGGGTAAAAAAATCTGTCATAGTTTTGTTGAAAATCTATGTCACACTTACTTGTTTTTTCGTACCTCACTAACTCGATATAGATCAGCATTGCTGATTGCTTGCTGTGTCCACAATTTAATTTTTCTCCTTAATCTCAACTTGCTTGGTTTCCGCAACAGTGAATAAGATAATAAGTAGCTACTCTCTTTTAAAAGAGAATAAATCAGTACATAACATTGTGCATAAAAAGCTACCGTGTTGGTGTGCAGTTTGTTTGTATACGACACGGCTTTTCAATCTCACTTTTCCTTTCCATTATATCATATACAATAACAAATAAAAACGATAACACAACATAACTAATACAATATAAAATAACAATAAACATTGCATTTACATTTCCTACAATTAGTGCTAGGCTGAGATCGTCACGCAAGCGGGGATGTGAAAGTGTGCCTCGCTTGTAGGTACAGTCTACACACATCAGACCATACAATTTTGTTGCAAAAGAGCCGCTATTACAGCTACACAAGGTGCTTACTTTGATGTGTTGACTGTACGTAATAGAAGTGCCGTTGAGGAGGGCTATGGCGGTGTAGTATGGTCCTCAGTGATGTCACAGTGATGTAACGTGACACCACGTTCGATATCTATGATGATGGCGGTTACGTTGTTCGATCTGTGTCGAGGACGTTTTGGGCTAAAATTTCCATTGTAATGGAGAAAATATTTGCATTCTTGTATCACACAGTGACGGAGAATTTCTCGATCTTCAATCAAATAGAACAAACTTTGTGGTCGGTACAACAACACAAGACAGGAAAAGAAAAGGAAAGAAATATAAAAAAGATACGGCTTATTATACTAGAAATGATCTCTTCGAGACAACCTAGAACCTTCATAATAATAAAAGATGAACAAATAAAGGAATATGTTACTATAATAGAGATGGGTTATACTAGGTAAATTTGATACTAGGTGCACCTATTCCAAGTATTTATTAATACTTGATCCAAATACCTATTCCACCTAGTACGTAGTAATTTACCATACTTGACGCGACTAGTGCGGACTAATCCACGTATTATGACTTTAAAATACAATTTTCTTTGAAAAGATACAACCGTAGTATTAATAATGCAATTTGAAATTGAATAATAATGTTTTTTCTGGCTGTTGATTTATTGATATCCTCCCTTCATACTTCAACAGGCTATTCCTATCTCACACCTGCCTGCGCTCAAATTTGTTTGTCAGACAGAGACGGAGTGAATCTCTACGTTCGCACATAAGCTTAGCGAGAAATACGCGGTGCGCGTAATACACGACTACGGATTATGCAATAATAACCTCTATTACTTTGATGGTAGGGTCGGAAATCGTGTAATTTAAAAAATACTAGGTGGATCAAGTATTTTAAAAATTGGAATAGGTGCCACTTAGTACTGTAAAATACCTAGTGTGTGGATCTGTTCTAGTAAATACGTCTCATCTCTACACTATAAGTAACTGGTTCAAACTGGTTGATGTATCGATCTTTCCGTTACCGTAATCCGAATATGGTTCGTGATAATTATTGCAACCGTTATTTTAAAACCAAGCCCTACGGTCGTTTCACTAAAATAAAAGCAAATGTCAGCGCAGCAAAAGGGTCCGCATGAGTCATTCTCGTGTTGAAATGAATTTATTGCCTGCACTCGGTCGTTCACATTTACAGCTGAATTACCTGTCGACCTTGCCTCTTAGTACTTTAACATTGGATCGAATCGATTATTCATTTCAACGAGATGCACAATCGAGATACCATCAAATCGTCGACATTGACTAAAGTTTAGACTCTTAACCTTTCAACTATGGGTGTAAAATTAAGCTCGTAACTCTCTTTCCCAAGTCTCGAAAACTTTTCTGGCAAGGGTTAAATTTCATGCCGGCCAGAATTCATTATCAAATTGGTATTTGAAATTAAGTGTGGTATAAAATAATCTACAAGATTGTAAAGTCAATTAAAACAGCCTTTTAAATATCCGCGAAACATCGTAAAATCGTGAACAAATCTACGAGAAATCGTCTTGTAAACGGCAATTGCGTTCATTTAGTTCAGGCGAATTTCTTAAGACAGAAAGATTTACTGTCTAGATGTTTTGTAACTCTAGATTGCCGGGTTTGAATATGGTTCTGCAATGTGCACTCATTCATATGATAAACACCTACTCGTAATAGTTTTCTAAGTGCCCTAATTTTGCTTCCTGCTGAGATCGGGAACTAATAAAAACGTTAGATAATCAGCGAAAGTATCATAACTTTCCTGCAAAATCCTATTTATTATGTGCCTCCTCAACAGCAAAAATTACCCCTGTTGACCGATTTGTTTAAACTATAAAACTAATCTGACATACCTAAATAAGACTATTGCTCTGCAAATCTCAAGAGCACACAGCAAATTGGAAGATTACCTGTCCGGACAATAACCGTCGGTTCAATATGATTCATAGCGAGCAACGGTCGATATAGGACCTGCGCCTACGCCTTTTGCGCGTCTCGGTCATTCCACGTGTCCTGGATTGGAATTTATATGAATTTGACTCGTGTAACCTCTTCAGTATACTTGTTCAAAATGTAATTTCTATTTCCACAATCTGTAGTTACGCTATTGAGTATATCATGACCATTTTCTACTGCGTCATTCTCTCAGTCTTGCAGTCTACTCCAATTAGAACCGTCAGTTTTTTACTCTTCTCTTGGCCATATTGTAGGGTAAGTGCGTTAGTTTTCGTCCAATTATCGGAGTTGCCAACTTTGTGATGCGAAATGAATATCTTAAAATACCCTTACTCATATGTATCATATGTCATTTTAGTCCTTATATAGTCTACTTTACGTTAATATAATATGACAATAAGTAAATACCACGGGTTTTTTTATAAAAAATATTTTATGCAAAAGAGGCGA